GTCAGGACCCAGGCTTCACATTCTTGTGGTTATCTGCTGATGGCTTCTCGGGGCCAGCAGTCCGCCCAAGGAAAGCACATGGACCAGGAAGCAGGAAGCTATTTTCTCTCTCTGCTTCAGGGGAGATGATGAGTGCTTTGCAGAGGAATTTAAGACCTATTCTGTAAACTTGTACTAATATGTGAGTTAGGACCCTGAGAGAGTTTTCAAACAGAACCACTGGTTTCTGTTTGTAAAAGGAGCTGACCTCATCTTGCTTCAGCAGCTGAAAGTCAAACAGCCGAGCAAACCTGAGGTCAATTTAGGACCTAAGGGGCACCCGAGAAGGAACACATTCAGACACTGTAATTTTTCAATGTCATTTATTTAAACCAAAATCAATTTATATTTTCAACAGGATGAGGGGTGGATTTCAAAGATATAAAAATAAAAATATATTCATATTCGGAACAAACAATTTTGTTTAATTTCTATAAAAAAATGAAACTATAATCTTTTTTTGGGGGGTGAAACCTGTAACATGGGAAATTGCTTCACTGGAATTCAAATTTCCACATGCAAAAACTCACTCATTTTGTTTGGGGTTTGGCTGAAATGGTTAAGGAGCCCAATAAAATAATTATTTGTTAGGCCCTGGATGGGTAGCTGGGTTGGTTAGAGTGTCATCCTGATATGCCAAGGTTGTGGGTTTGATTCCTGGTCAGGACACATACAAGAATCAACCAATGAATACATAAATAAGTAGAACAACAAATCTCTCTCTCTCTCTCTCTCTCTCTCTCTCTCTCTCTCTCTCTCAAATCAATAAATAAAAATTTAAAAAATAATTTGTTGAAAGGTGAAAACTGTAATCATAGTTGAGACTTTGGAAATAGTCAGTGCATGAACAAAGTAATAAGATCTCTCTGCCTCACAAGGATCCAGCCCCTTCAAACTTTTTTGAAGCCTTTTCAAAAGTACATTGTAACCTTAATAAAAAAATGAGAGAAAAAAAAAAGTATGTTGTATTATTTTAATGACTGGCATGGTTTTGCGTATGCATAAAAATCAGGAAAAGTGGCTTATCTGCTTAACAATTTCCAAGTTTGTTGCATCTAAGGTGGATGGGTTTGCCCAAGAACTCGGTGGGAAAGGAAGCACTGTGGATATAGGTTTCTTCAGAGCTGCAGCCTTTTCAGATAATTGCAACTTCACTTCATAAAATACTGTAATTTACTTTCTTTTTTGATAAATCTGTATGTTTGTGTATATGGAGTCAGGTTTGTGGATATAACCTAGATAAAGCCCAGACAAAATCAACAATGACAAATAATTACCAAGTTAAATGTTGGAAGCATGATAGAGACCCCACTGAAGGCTGAATGAAGGCTTGAACTTGGGACTCAAATCTGTTCCCACTGGGCAAATCACTAAACATCAGTGAGCACAGTGTTCCAGTACCAGCAAGGATAAACTGAAAACTACAAAGCATTATTCTGACTTTTCTTACCCTGGAGGACTGTATAGAAAACAAAATTGATGAAATGTTTGCAAAGAAATTCAAGTGGACAAGATATATACAGAGCTGCACAAGTTTGAGAGCCTAATCACTTCTTTCATAAAATACACAGCTTTTGACTTGACACGTTTTCCTGTGTGTGATCATCATGGTAAAGTGACTTTTCGTTTTCAGTATTTCAGTCCTTTATGTGGGATACAAGCCTAACCAGGCTCAATAGGGACTAGCACTGTGTGCTGTTACAATGAAAGTTAGGAGATGCTTCTTTATTGCTTATTTCCCCTGAAGGCAATCACTTATATCTTGGAAGAAGCAGGACTCTGTAGTGAAAACATGCAGACCTGAAAGCAGTGCATTAATTATTTTATTAATTTAATCTTTTTACATTATGGGAAACATTCATCTATTTACAATTTTTTTTGTTCACACACAATCTAAGTAGATAAGCCTATGAAATTCCAATTCATAAATCCATAAAAATGTTCCCCATCCCTCCATCAGAAGGCTTTCAAGTGGATCTTTTTTTTTTTTCTCCAAACCAAAATAATTTTTAAAAATTACATTTGGGAATTCAGATGTGCTAGTGATTTACATTCCAGTTATTTAAAATATGCATCTAGACATGTTTTAAAAAAGAAATGGTAAATTCACAAGGATAAGGCTTAAATTAAAGTGGTAATGCACAGTAAAACATTAAGGACACATCTATAAATAACAGAAATATATTACAAATAAATTAGTTCTATTTACCATTTCAAATATTAAAAATCTTTAATCCATTTCTTCATCTCTCTTTACAAAAAGGTTATGTGAATTGTATGGAAACAACTGCAAAAAATATAATAAATACTTAATTTCTTTGAACTATTTTTTGATGCGGGAGACAAACTTCTTTTTTAACTCCCCCCTCCCCAAGAAAATGCCCAAACATCTTTATACCAAAGTTAAACAAAATAAGTAATTTTCAGGGTACATACATTTTCCATTATGAACTAAGAAACATTTCTACAAATACATCAAAAAGAACAATGTAACAAAGGTTATGCTTATGGATGCCAGTTAAAGGGGGCAAGTGGTTAACGAGCCGCTTTATGTAAGGGTCATGTTTTAACATCAATAATTAGCTCTTTATAAAGTGTTTGTACAATTTGTGTTTTGAAGGAAGGCAAAGGTCATGATGCCTGTGGGCATTTAGCTCAAAGATTTAAAATTCTTACCAAAAATAGCTTATGAATATACAAATACCACTCAAAGGGACAAGATAAATAGGACTTCACTTGTCTCTCTTTAAAATATCCTGGGCTAGACCAGTTTCCAAAGAAAATACTGTAGGGTGATCTTGAATTGTATTAGAAATCTATTTCTTACTCCAAATCTTATCTCTACCTCAGGGCACAGAGCTGTTGTTGGGAACATGGGTTTTTCCAAAGGATTCCACTTCCTTCGTGTTCATCTGTGAGTTTATCTGTGAGTTCATTTGCAGGACTGAATGTGACCATACGCTACCCAAGGTGGCAGTTGGCCTTACATAATGCAAATTTTGTGTGACCTTTCATTGCTGCTAGAAAGTAAATAAAAGATGTATTCTTTTTAGAACCAGCAACACCCGAAGCTAAAAATCTCGGTATGCTCCCATTTTACAAAGCACTCAAGGTGCTCTGTTCACCCTAACTAAAAGTTTGTTTTGAAATAAGTTAGTAGCCCTTTTCTTGTAAACCACAGCAGTAAACATTTGTGCCCTGTTTACAAAGATAGCTCAAAGCATCGATGGCTCTGAGAGGTAGCAAATTCTCTAGTGGTTTTTGAATATGTCCGTGAAGATAGTTGATGCCAGAACCCATCACCTCTCTTAATTTCAGAAATAAAATTAAATTAGCACCTGGCAATGCGAGTGCGTTTTTTTTTTTGTTTGTTTGTTTGTTTGTTTTTTTTTAAAGCTTCTCTAGTGCAAGCATATTTGATGTATGTTTTTAGAAGTCCTTCATTTTTCCATGGTAATTTCTAATACTTTAGGGTGGGAACTGGACGTAAAACGCCAGTGATACTTTAAGATCACCATATTCTAAACACGTTAACTGCTATGAATAAGGGCGTTTAAGGAGAACTTCAGCAAAGTGCATACTGCCCATCCAGCATGACAAAAATGTAAGTCAACATTCTCTGCCAAAAGCCTGGGTATCTCTCAGTGTTTGTGCGTCGTGACTTCTCCCCTCTCCTTGTTGAACCTTGCACGTCAAATTTTTCTCACTGCCGGGGACTTCAAGAGGAGTGGCAGCTCTTTGGAATGAGGCGTGTCTATTGGGGTAGAAAATTTATTTTATTGGGTTGACCTAGGACACAGTCCTTATGCTAGGGGATGATAGGACCCTATGTAACAGTGAAAGAAGGCCAAAGGAAGAGATATGTCAGAAGTACGAACTAACAGGTTAAAGGAGATGGCTGTAGAGCATTCAAGGGGATGATGGGAAAATCCAAACTCTTCTCTGAAAACCACCTGGCTGCCATTTACAGCGCCTCAGAAGCAGGTGTGTACTTACATAGGTGTGGTTAGGTAGGGTCCCCAGGATGGACACTAACAAATTAACAGAACCAATAGTTTGCCCTTGAAGATCCTACTGCACAACAATATAATATACACAACACAATGACAGCTGGTAAAACATTTCAGGTCTAAGATTTTTTTAAAAAAAATAAGAGAACAAAACATCACTTATGTAGTATCTTAAACTATCAGTGCTTCCTTTGCCTTGCCTTTCTTCATTTTATTGCCTTTCAGAATAGATTAATTTCCCTGAAAGATCAAATTTACAATCTTCTGCTGATTGAAACACTTGAAGCAGTGATTGATGAAGGATCAGTGAGGCAGTTTGTGCAGCTGTGAGCGGTGCGGGTACCCCCAGCACCCGCAGATTTTGCTCCTCCCTTCCCCACTACACATCCAGGTCCCACACCCCCAGCCCAGCTCGGTCCCCTCTTGGTGTGTCACTCATGAATTCCGGTGAGATGGCGTCATTTCGGAGGTTGGAAATAAAGTGCTCCATCTGCTTTGTAAAAGAATAACCATTGGGGGAAATAAAAGGGAATCGGAGCCCTCGTTTCTTTTCGCGTGGAAGACGGTTAAGTCCCAAAGGATCACCCTGTGATACTGGATTTCTGAAATACCCTACGGTGTTATATTGCTGAGCTCTAGGGACACACTAGCTTTAGAGAACTGAGGATGCGGGCGACTCACAGGGGCGATCTGTGCACGGGTGGGCTTGGCTTTGCCAAGAAAAGAAAGGGCTGTCTATCCGGGTGAGGCAGGCTGGCGCCTCGGTACAGGTGGCGAAGCTCAGTGAGTAACATGGGCCCGCTGGTCTGGGCAGGGGGACTGGGGAGGTCCTGCAAGGTGGACAGCTAACTACACGGCGACGGTGGAAGTCACTGGGCTCAGACGGACGGGCTGGGGCGGAGGGGCCGGGAGGCGGCGGGCGGACAGGTCCTGGCGGGGGACGCCGGGACCTCAGAGCCGGGTCTGCGCCTCGGGGATGTAGATCTCGATGCTCTCGGCGCTCTCGGTGGCCGAGTTCTGGCGGACGGACGCGGCGCGCCTGGCGGCCATCAGGCGCTTGCGGGCCTCCTGGCGCTGCGAGCTCTCCAGCGAGCGCTCCCGGATCAGCGGCGCGGGGCCCTTCGCCGGCTTCTTTGGCACTGGAGGAGGGGCCCTTCTCTCCTGATCAAAGCAGAAGGTGCAGGACATTACACAGCTTCTCAGGACAAGCTTGGGGGAAACTGGGATAGGTCAGTGGTTAGAACACACACACTTTTTTTTTTTTTAAACCTAAGGATGGTTCTGATCTGCACACTGCATACCAATTTCTCTTCGTTTTTTTTTTTTGTTTGTTTTGTTTGTTTTTTGTTTTTCTGGTTCGGGGATTCAAAAGATGCAGGGGGGAAAAACAAATACCGGTAAGCTTAAGGCCAAGGGTGAGGCTGAACTGCAGAACTAGGCCTCTCCAAAGAAAGGCTGTGGGTACCTGAGGGCCCCCTGCTGAAAGGTTCTCTCTAGAGGCTCCAGACTCCTCCGGGGGCCAGAGATGGGCCAGGGCTGCAGCCGCAGCAGCTTAGAATTCTGCGCCCTCTAAAGAGGGAGGCAGCTCCAGGGAGCTGGGTTCAGCATTTAAAAGCATCACCACCCTCTCCGCAGACCCCCCCCCCCCCTTCCCCCAAGCCTAAATAGCCAAATGAGGAGGAAGAGGTGAGACTGTGTTCCTTTAGCTTTGTAGATGCCTGGGGAAGTTAGTTACACTCGTTTGCACACCACACACACACAAACACACAGCAGTGGACAATCCAGGGTCACCCTGGAGGGAAGACATGGATAACGCCTACACACTCGGCTCCAAAACGGCTCCTAAAACATCCAACTGGATGTCACTCGGGGCCCAGAAAGCTATTCCTATCATAGGGACTGAAAGAGTTCATCTGCCGTAGCAACAGCAAACTATAAAACAGATATTAAATGCCATTGCAAAGACAAAAGCCACTCATAACTTCCGTAGGAAAAAAAAAAATGCCTGTGGGAAAGAGGGAATCTAGACCAGAAAGGATTCTTATGAAAAGGATGATAAACTGAGGCTGCGAAATGGTCCATGTGAATGTTTTCTTTTTAAAGAAAATACCCTCGGTCCTCATCAATACATGCGAAGTGTGTCATACATGTGAAAAGTGTCTTAAAGTGTAGATGCTATGATTCTCCAAAGGACATTCCTTGTGCCTTAACACTCATGCTGGTCACAGCGGTCCCTCCATGCTGGCATGGGTGGAGTGCCTAGTTAAACTGAGTACACTGGAGCTGCCCTCAGGCCGTGTGAGGGAGCGTCTGGGTGGCCCAGAGGACCGGAGAGGAAGCACAGAATACAAACAATATTCTGTCAACTCGTTTGTGCTCATTCATTTTCCCCCCTAACATGCTCCGGATGATGAGAAGCTCTGATCATGGACAAAGTGTGTAACGATTTAGAAATCAAGTTAACTAGTGATATACTGTGCAAATGTCAATAATTACATATATCTTAGCATCACTCATTTTGGACATTTAAAAATCTTCATTTTTGAGTAATTTCATGTTGTATATTTCTAAAAGTATGTATACTGAACATTTTCATTCATATTTTCCTATTTGTGTATATTACATATCTTAACAATAATGTTTTAAAAATCAACAAATGGGAAATTAGATGGATGTGTGTGTACATCTGTAGTTTTTTTTGTTTGTTTGTTTGTTTTTTAAATAGGACTAATTCAAAAGCTTATCTAGCAAACAATTTTAAAAAAAGATAAAAAAACAAAAACAATCTAGGTGACATGCAAATGTTTGGCTTCTCAAGTGAGAGGCCACACATACACCAATGGTATTTTGATGCTTAACACTAAAACCCTCAGGTTAACGGGTGAGAGAATTGGAAATTAGGGACGAGGATAATAGTGTTGCTTTCCTGTCCCTTGGGACTGGATTTCTCTGGGGAGCCCTCTGACCCGAAGAATCCTGATACTACGGGCAGCAACAGAACTGACTGGATTGCCATAAGCTCTCTATAGGTGAGGAGATCTGAAAAGGGCAGGGCCTTCAGTGCTTCAGGGGATAACCGTGAATCATTTTTGCAGTTGAATCTCTTGGAACTATTTGACCTCAGGCCATAGGAAAGCAAGGCATTAAAAAAGTGGTGCATGACAGCCCAGCCTAGGGAGGACATTGTATACCTGTGTGAGCCTGGTGGAACCACCATAATCCAATGTGAAAATTGCAATTTATTACTTAAAGTAAAAAATTTGAGTCTTCATTTCTAAATGGTTGCATCCAATGAGCAATATTCCCCAAGGCAAATAAACCAAAAGTAAACTCTTTTATAAAGAAAAAAACCCCAACATTTTTGATTACTGTGAAGCTTGATGGTGTGTATATTTTTAGACTTGGACAACAGTGGTTTCTTTATTCCTATATTTATGAAATGATTATCAAAGTCAGTTAGCTTTCAGGGCTTATTTTCCTCAGAAACACATCCTAGGGCTATAAGGAAGTTGAACTCTTGCTCTATGTAATCATGCACTGAAGTTGTCATTTATTTTAGTTTAAAAAGCAAAATGGAGGCAGTTCCTTCCAGTGACTAAAATGGTTTAACTTAAAGTTTAATTAACAAAAAAAAAAAGGCCACATTCCCATTTTCCAATTCACAAAGACAGGTTTTTCGTTAAAAATATGCCTGAAACATATTACAGATAATATCCCAAATGAATACTATGTAAACATTGTCATTACAATGAAATTAATATGATGTCAGCTCCATTTCACATTGTAAACAGCAAGACTGAATGCAGAAGCCTATTTAGACTGTCCAGTGTTTGTGCAGGTTTTTAAATGAACCATACAAAATCTACATTGTTCTACCTTCTTGTCAAGAGGATCCATCTGTTTCCAATTATTGGCCTTTAACTGATGGAGTTCATCAAATTTCATACTAATATTTTCTATGGACAACTGCAGCATGTCCCAGAACCCCGCCAAATCCTGGGAGGTGGGCCTTGGATGAGCATTAGGGTTCTGTACAGAGAAAGAAGAATATCCATGCTTTAGAGGCGATCCATGACAACAAGCACAGGGCCAAAGTAACATTCTCAAATACTTCAAATAACAGAAGGAGGGCGAGTTCCTTTTGGTTTTCAGATTAAAGTGGTACTTTTATAGTAATTAGCCAATGATTATTTTAAAAATTATATGTTCAGCTTTACTGGGGTATAATTGACAAATAATAATGACATTTAAAATGAACAATATGATCATTTGATATACATTGTGAAAGAATTCCCTCCGTCAAGTTAATCAACTTTAAGAAAAATGTTTGGTGAGAACATTAAGTTCTACTCTCGCAGCAAATTTTGGTTATACAGTACAGTGTTACCAACTATAATCAACACATTAGACATTAGATCCTCAGGCATAGTCATCTCCTAACTGAAAGTTTGTGCCCTTTTACCAGCTTCTCCCTATTTCTTCCACCCCTCAGACCTCAGCAACTTTTCTATTCTGTTTCTGTGAGCTTGACTTTTTTGTTTTAAAGGTCATTACAAATGGTAATTTTATACACACATCCAACTCTCAAATGCCAAGGTTATAAAACTCTTCTTTTGTAATTGGTACAGTGCGGGGGGAGAGTAATCTTTTGAAAATCCAGAATGTATGATCTATAATAAGATGCATATAAAATACCATATTTAAATGAAAATACCATCTTTGAAAAAAGTACAGGATATTAGAGTTGAAATTTGACTATCTGCTACCCAACTTATTCAGAGAACAGATACGTAATCTAAAATATGATTTGTTTTAATACTAATGTTGAGTGAAATACTAGGGAAGACAGATGAGGAGTAATAAAATATATGTTTGACAATTAAAATGCTATTAATATAGGAAGTCATTTGTCATATAAGTACTTTGGAAAAATCATTTGGAAATGCATTTGTTTTAAACTGACCATAACATAATATAGCAAATATGAGAACACATATCTACACATACACAAAGAGCCTATAGTGATCCATTTGCTAGATAATATTGAACAGTCTTTGGTATTTAAGGATTGGCTTTCTTTGCCTCCATTCACATGTCACTCCAAGTATTAGAAAGTCTGACCCACAAATTATTATGATCTAAGACAGAAAATACATAACTAAGAGATTGAAGGTGCCATGCTCATTGTTAATTACTATCTGCAGTGTAGCTAAAGCATTAGATTGGTGGGAGCTGCCATATGTCAGATGTTTATAGTTGGGGTCAGTTTTGGTTACCTCTAACTATTCAGGCAACTAGATAGACTGTGAGACCTTATGCTGTATAATAACTTGAGACTAGTTTATTCTTTTAAGACCAACCATCATAAAAAATGATATCAGGATTTCAGAAAGTGTAGGTCAGTGATCATCAAATTAATGGGCTGGAAAGAACTTTTTAGCCCTTTGAGTGGACTTGCATTATTTATCTAGACTTAAAATAAATACAAGTAAAGATGTTTTTATAAACTTATAGTTCTAAAACTACCCATAGTTCGGAAATTCATTGGAAGAAGTAAATTCTAAAGTTTGTAAGTATTTAGTTCAGTATTAAATCTGTACTAATGACACCTGAATTAATGAAAGAGTTTCTCTATAACATTTAATTTAGTAAACTAAAAAAAAAAATGTTTCTAAATATCTAGGTTCAGAAAGACAGATAATAGTTTGGACAAAACTCCATTTGAGAGGTACAAAAAAGTACCTCTCAAATGAAGTTTATGGTCTCACAATATATTTCCTTATCTTATTACTGACCAAAATCTAAATTGCTCATATTCTGGAGTTCACTAAAGTCTTTTAGGTCATAAACTCCATTGGCTAAATTGTTTCAGTGCACCAATGCATGACATGATAGCACAATAGGTAGAGTTATTTTTGACTCTATATAATGGGTAACTTGTTCCCTCCTCACCAGGAACCTTTTTACCCCCATATCATGAAAGGGATAAAAGAGGAAGCAGAGAGAAAGAGCTTAGGCACCCAGCCAGTCTCTGAATCAGTGGGTCATGTGACATCCCAGGCACAAGAAGAAGTTGTAGTACTAGCCTTAGTCTGAACCAGGCCCCTTGGGGCTCAGAAATGGTGAAGAGTGTAAAAAGACAAGGGGGGTTGGGTTCCTTGGTTTAGTTTTACTGGGAAAAAGCAACTCTCATCCATCCATTCTAAGTCTGAGAGTCTAGATAAAATGTGGTATTCAAGTGTTCCCTTCCTCAGAGTAAGAACTCAAGAAAGGAGAACTGGATCTGGTTGTGACTAATCTTAGTGTCATCCTCATGCAGCTTTGAAGACCTAAATAATGCCACTACCAGGTCACCACGCTTCCTGCTGCAAAGGTCCCTCCACAAGGGTAAGGAATGCAGCTCAAATTCTGGGGGATAAGTAGGGTGGTGGGTGGGTTTACAGGGATTGAGGTCAAAGAGACTGAGATATGAATCTTGGTGAGGCCTCTTACAGGTGGCCCTGGTCAAGTTACTTGGCCTTTCCAGGCCCATTTTCCTCAACCATAAAACCGTCATAGAAATAATGTCACAAGCAGCTCCATAAGGTCTGACACTGTGGCCTCCTGGGACATGGTTTGACCAGCCATCAGTGGCCTTGGCCCACAGGGTAATGCTGCTTTCATCTACCTCTTACATGCTTCTCAGATTTTGCCACCTTAGTTCCTCTAGAGGCCAAGGAATGTGAGCCCATCGGGAACTAGGAAACATCAAAAGATGGCTTTAAAAAGGTTAACCCTTCCTGGACATCTGCAAAATTTTCAAAGCATTTTGTCTGCAATTTGATCTTCAAAATCTGCATAATGTTTGTGTTCTACTACATGATATACTTGTCCATAATATAATTCTTTAAAAAGGCATGCTCTATGTCCTGCACTTGTGCACACCGGGCTTCAGATATACCTAGCAACCACTGTGAGAAGTATAGCTTTATGTGAGCTTCCTTACATTTAAAGGACAAAGAATCATGTTAATTAAGATCTGTGACACACTACCAAGTTCACAAATTAGTGAGAATTCTGTTCCTGGCATGAAGTGAAGCTCAATAAAGTATTTACGGTAGTCATTTATTAATACATTTACTAATATATATTATCTTATAATCTGGAATAGAATTTCTGGGAAGGTGAAAGAAGGATCAGGTAATTTTTGCTGAGGGAAGAGAAAAAAGATTATAGGTGGGAGGATGGTGAGCAGGAGGAAAGAGATAACTCCAAAGGAAGATCTCAAAAGGAAAAGCCTGGTGCAGAGGGATGGAGAGTACTAATTTTTGCATGCTTCCTATTTTTTCTTGGCCGAGTCCTGTCTAGATAAATCCCTTTTGGTCTGTATTTGTCCTTGTTAACAAGAAGATGTGGTTAAAACTCTGAAATCATAGTTTGGGTCAATTAGATTGCATATAAGAATGTTTTGGTTTTCAACAAGATAAACAAGTTGCTTTTCATTGTATTTGTTTTAGATCCAGCCTGACCAACAATCGACCAATGAAAGCTATTCTGTGCAATGATACTGTAGAGCTAGCAGTAGTTTTTAAAAACTACTACATATGATGTGAGTGAGTTAGCACTTGCCCCTGTATTAAAATGTTGCTGGTAGTGGTGCCTTTGTGTCTGTTTTGCTTTATTTGGTTCTGGTATGTCTCAGAAGGGTTCATGTGTCTCAGGGAGATCAAATCTACACTTTGTGATGCCCTTCACCTCTGGCTCTTGAATTAAAACCGAGAACTCTGATAAGGATATATGAACTGAAGGCTATTCCAGAAAGAAACTCATTATCCACAATGATTTTCTGCAATATTATTTTCGAAATACCAGGGGATCCCTATTTTGGTAAAAGTAATGAAATCAGAGATGCCGTGTGAAAGCCAGGAAAATGGGGATTTTTCAGTTACCATAAAGCAGGAAATGGAGTTTTAACTTAGTTGGGTTTTTTCCTTCTAAGATTTTTTAAAGCATGAAAGTATTTTTAATTCTAGGAAGAGCAGATAATAAGATTCATCAGAAAACTCTTTATCCAAGAAAGTCCAAGGGCCTTGACTGGGTTCAAAATCAGGCCCATCTTGATGACACTCTTCTCATGGTACGAGCAGGAAAAGGCAGTGATAGGGAATGTTACCTACCAGGTTTTCTTCACACAGTTCTCTGAACTGGTAGAATTTCTGGGCCATGAGAAGCTGGGCACTGCCCACTGCCGTTCGGATTTTCCCTAGAACTGAAAAGAGCAAACATACAAGGAGTTTACACATGGTGTCTCATTGTTGAGCTTTAGTCTGGTAAAGCAAAGAGGAAGTTATGCTGCAATAATTCGGGAAAACAGCACACACACAGTGCACGCACCCACGTGCACACAGCCCTTTCGTGGTCGTTACTCCACTGGTCTATGTGACAGAGGCCCCGAGGTTTTGAAAGCATAAAACCAACTGAGGGGAAAACACGTGCTCATCATGCATATTTCTCAGGGATCACAGAGTTTTCCACCACAGCACTGGGCGTTACCAAGAGAAGAGGCAGACGGTTTTGTTTTGTTTTTTCCTTTTACTGCAAGGATGAATTGCAAGTGTTCACCGTATAGTTATGGATTTATTTGTGTCAGCAATCCGGGCCCGCCAGTTTGTTTTTAAACCCAAATCCAAACACAAGAAAAGCCATCCTGTCTTGGCGGGGGACCTCTTGGCACTCACCAGGTTCCAGCCTTAGCTTTCATTATTTTTTCGGAGCTCAGCCTCTGGAACTGCCAGGAAAGAGCCGCTGGCCAGTTGAAAGACTTTCTAAGGAGTGAACATTTTCAGACTGTTGCCTGGGGAACGCCAGTACCCTCCCAGCTTTTCCACTCCACAGCCCGATGTTACTGTTGACGTGGGTTTAATTCCCTAAGCACTGTGCCGAAAACCTGCCCCTCTGCAAGCTACTTCTTGCCTTCTGTGCAGTCTAAGGCGAGAACCTTTCAACCGACGGGCGTGCTGAGACGGGGGCGGGGCGCTCCGCGCAGAGATAGCCTCATGTCTGCATTGTCCCAGGGCTCTCCCTCCAGCCTGCCGGGACCAGGGCACAGCTGCACTGCTGGAGCCCTGCCACCAGGCAGCTCTCAACATGCCCTCCCTGCCGGGAAGGAAGGGGAGAAGGCACCCTGCTTGCTCATAGGAAACCAGAGGGGAGACATCTCAAAGTGCACGTGGCCTGCTTTGGAATCCTACACCGGGAGGCAGATTACAGGACTGGTTTTGCTGTGGTTTTGTTATGAATGTACAGAGCCTGAGACCCAGAGTGGAATCAGGTCTCCCTTTCTTGACCTCATTCCTCACAAAGTCTAAGGAGAGGGAAACAGAAGAAAAAGGAACTTCATTTTGGCCCAGGGTTTTCTAGAAATCTGCTTTGTTTAAAGCTGCCAGGCTAGCTCATGGTTTGTAATGCACATTACTCATGGGCACTCCTCTCATGGTTCAGCATTCCCACACACATAACTCAGGGCGATGATGAACTCTCCAATATGTCATCAGTCACACCAAACAGCTGAAGTGCAGGAATTCGTGCGCTCAGTGATAGCGAGGGGCCGCCCTGGACAGCTGACTGGCAGCTATTGCTCAGAGCAAAGTTTTTACTTCTTTCCAGTTTGCTTACATGCTTTTGAGGTTGCTCAGTTGTTGGAGGCCTCCTCTCCCTTTCTCAACACTCCAAAAGCAGAGGACAGCACATGCAGAACAGGGCCCCACAGGAGTTAAGAATTCAGGCCCGGAGTAGGCCAAGGGTTCCGGCTCCAACACTTAGAGCAGCCATGGACCTGGACAGTCACTTGCTCTGTTTTCTTACGTGTAAAATGGAGCAATTGGTGCCTATTTGTAGGGTTGTTGTTAAAGTTAAAAGTGGTAATATATGTGAATTTTTTAGGTCAGTGTCTGTCTATAGCAAACACTCAATAAAAATATATTATTGCCAAAACCGGTTTGGCTCAGTGGTAGAGCGTCGGTCTGCGGACTGGAAGGTCCCAGGTTCAATTCCGGTCGGAGGCATGTGCGTTGGTTGCGGGCACATCCCCAGTAGGGGGTGTGCAAGAGGCAGCTGGTCGGTGTTTCTCTCTCATCGACATTTCTAGCTCTCTATCTCTCTCCCTTCCTCTCTGTAAAAAATCAATAAAAATATATTTTAAAAAACAAACAAACAAAAAAAACATATTATCACCTAGGGCCAGGACATTACACTTCCTCTCACTGTGAGCCCCACACAGAGGAGAGGAAACAAACTGAAGCCTGGATGATCCATGGTTGCCTGGGTGGGTGTGTGCTTTGATGACCTGTCCTAGCGCTGAGACAGGTCTGAGAAGGCACTTCTTAAGTGAACACATGGCTTCTGGCCAACTCCGAGGTTCCTGACTTATCTTGCTGAAGGGGAAGATTTTGACACCAGCAATTTTCAGAATGAATCATGGGAGATTAGATCTAATACCTAAGTCTCCCATTGGCTGACTGGGATCACTTAGCTCCTGGGAACTGACATAGGAACTCAAACAATTCTGATATTTCTCAAACTTTGCGCTAACATTCTCAGCTAGAGCCGAATACCTGCGCTATGTCATAGCCTGTCATACTAAAGGTAGCTAAGACGGTGATTGTCCAATGAGGAGAAAGAAGTGCTCCAAGCAGTCATCCAGGCAACACCCAGCTATGGTAGGTAAGAGCAACTCAGATTTCTTCTCAAGGAAAAAAAGGGGCATTTTCCTCTATTCAGCATGGTCAGACCAGAACCTTAGATTTGGAGCAAAGATATCTGGAGTGGAGTGTGGCCCTTCTGTTTCCCGGGTTTTTGCTATCATGTTCCCTGAGTGGAAATTCCTTACTGGCACCAGGATTATTTGCATTTCCTGGGTCCAAGTGATGGTCTTTCCTGGGCTCTGGGTAGGGAGGTGACGATTTGGGTCAGGAGGGAAACCCTGAACCAGGAGGGCATGGGACAATCAGACGATAACTCATACTTCCCTGACCTCCATGCTTTCTTTTTCAGAGAATTAAAAATTCATTTTAATTTTTAGGGAAGACATTCTAATGAGATTTGTTCTGTTTTGTTTGTCCACTAGTCACAAACTTTTCTCCTGGAAATAAATTTCATGTTTATTACATATGCCTTAGGGAAGTACAAAACTAATAAAGAGTATGTGGTAAACATCAGTGGAAATAAACACTAGGAAAAATAAAGCTGAATGTTAGTAAAGAAATGAGATAAAGAAGAAAGAGTCATTGTAATGTTATTTAGAAACTGCTCTAAAACATTCTATATCATCCTTCAGCAGAGTGCAAAGAAAAAGACTTTGGTCAGGGATGCTAAGAAAAGAAGTATAAGGGAGCGACAGTAAAGAAGCTGTGGGCTTTCCCCAGGCGTATAAAACAGCCCACCCTGGTAGTAGAAAGTTCTGGAAGAGGCCTAGAGCTGAGACAGGTCTGAGAAGACACTTCCTAAGTGAACACATGACTTTCTGAGTGAGCCTTGCATCTCACTATTCTACTGTAGCAGGGCGGCAGTTAACTTCGCAGGGATGGCCTGGCCCTCTAGGATGTGGCCAAGAAAGCCAAAGGGTCCTAAAAGCATGGGGTCTGTGCAAAAGCTGGTGGGCAAGGCCAACCTTTACATTATGTTTCCATGGAGCAGGGGCAGTCCTTGTGGGTTCTGGGAATTCAATCATTCATTCAGCAAATATTTATTAAGGGCACATGATGCACCAGACACTGTCCTGGAAGGATCTGATGTGGTGATATCAATAAACAAAAGCCTTGCCCTCATGGATTACATTCTGATGAGGGACAGTGGGAGAGACTGTGAAACCGAAAAACAAAGATTTAAAGGTTTGGAATTTGCTAGATTACTTGAAATGATCAGATGCAGCTGAATATGATTGAGCAATTCAAAGGACAGTGAATTCCTTAAACAGCATTAGAGAACATCCTGTCTCCTTGATCTCTCTTAAGAAATGGAAAACAAACAAACAAACACACACACACCATGGTTTGAGATGGTATCAGCTGCAATATAAAAATGGATTCTGGACTAACCAGCCTGTTTTATAATTTTATTTATTGATTTTTAAAATTGATTGATTTGAAAGAGAGAGAGGAAGAGAGATTTGTTGTTCCACTTAATTATGCATTTATTGATTCATGTATGTGCCCTGACTGTGGTTCAAAGCTGCAACCTTTGGCATGTTTGAACAATGCTCTAACCAACTGAGCCGCCCAGCCAAGGCAACAGCTTGCTTTAGTGGCCATCATTTGAAAATGCCGTTGTTTTTTATTTGGGAAAACATTAAAATACACAAAGTAGAAAGGCTGAAATGGCAAACATCTGTGTATATGGTCTTCCCTAAAGAAACAATTTTTTAAAACGCGCTTCTTAATTTGTATTTCTTTTCTTTTCTCTCTCTCTGTGCAATGAAATAAAGTTCTACAGATAAAGTGTACGTCACTTCTGTCCCGTTAGCCTCCCTTCCAGAGAAACCACTGGACTAGACGAACAGTCCAGGCCTGTCCCTGAGTTTATGAAGATTTTCCGCCTGGTCCTAGAAAGGTGACAGCGAAGGGCCATTGGAGTGTAAATGAGAGAGCGACAGATGGGGCAATTCCACTGGCACGGTGAGACCTCGGCTTAAGGCAGCAGACTGTCTAAAGTTAGAAGGTTTCCAGCCTGTGTTGCTCCAGACGGAAGATGTGCTGCTGGGTTCATTTAGTTGGTTTCCTTCACACTCTGGTCCACACAGTCTCTCCAGATTGCTCAACCCGTAGGTACTTGACAATTCTTACCTCCTATTTCCCTTAAGGCACATTCAATGTATCTTCCGGAATAATGATCTTTGCTGCATACCAAAGCATGACATTCAACCAGGGTTTATACTATCTATTTGGGTAGTAGTTAATCATATAATACGCCTGTTTTGCTGGGCCACTCTTTTTATATCGGTAAGTCTGCTTCTTCCTAGGGGTTTTATTAGCACTTGACAGTGTATTTTTAAGATCCCTTTCTCCCTTTCCTTTCCTCCCAGCTACTCAGTTAGTCTAGTCCTCAATGGAAGTACAGGACAGCAGCCATAAACACTGTTGAACTAAATCCCTTCTATTTAAAAAGTGGGTGCCTTTTTATTAACTCTCCTCTTTATAATGCTAGAAACGTCAGAGTCCACAACAGATGGTTATGAGGGATCATAATGGAGAGGACAGGCCCAGGTTAATTTAC